TGTGTATGTGTATGTGCATGTATATGTATATGTATTTATGTATGTGTTCATGTGTGAGAATATATATATATATATATACACATCGACATATGTATGTGTGTATAATGCGGGTAAGACCGGCACGCGCACACACGCACACACTCACACACGCCCACCCACAGCCACACCCGCATCCGCACGCACATGCACACCCACACCCACACGCACAGGCACACGCACATGCATACGCACAACACCAGACTTCGCACATGCAAAACAAATGCACAATACGATGGTCGAAGAACTGGGCTTGGCTAGAACGGTTTAAATCATCGCGAGCGAGGATGAGCTTGGGGCTCGGTTTTGCCTTTAAATCGTCTCGCACCGGCAGAGTCAACGCAAGATGAAAGGCTAGGGACGGGAACTAGGCCCCTCAGCTCCAAGCCCTTGGCAGAAACACACACACTCACACACAAAGACAAACGGACCCAAATGAAGGGACACCTGGATCTGGATCAACAGCAGATTCTCACCATGGCCCAGTTCGCCAGACAGCCAGAAAAGTTCCTGTTGACTCAGGGTACTGATGAGATTCCAGGAGTGAAGCGCTCTTCGATTTCGGAGTTTCGAGTTCATCCTTCGTCTGGTTGGTGGTGGCCTAGCAATTTGTGCTAAACGCTCTGCACGAGGCGAGCTTCGGGGGTGTGAAGGCCGAAGTGCTATCTAGACCGTGTTACCTTTCGAGTTCCTGCTTGGGTGTAGCCGCAGCCCCAGTACCGGAAGTACTTCAACACAAAAGGACACGGATGACGTGAATCTAAAACCTCTGAATCCCACGACATCAATATCCCACACAAAAATCCTAAACTCGAAAAACCAGCATGGCCCTCCAACCATTTCAGAACTCCAACCGGTGGCTGACAATAGCCGAGAGCGCGCCGAAAAGTATCGAGCCTGGCTTTCGGTGGCCGGAAGACGAATTCCGGAGGTTTCGCGGCTCTGGGCCTCGGATGTGAAGCTCAAGGCCTTTGTGCCGCAGCGGGGCGTCTCGGGCTTAGGTAGATTTCGTGTTCAGCCTCTCACCGGCAATCAGGGTTCAGGTCGGCGTCCATCGCAGAAAACATGAAAGCACGATCCTCACCCGGAGGGTCGGAGGGGTAGGGCTTGTTGGGACATATATAATATGAGAAAAGAGGGTTACTGTGATACCAACGCTATCTGCGAAAACCTGGTGCATTCTATGATAGATGTTCGTGTCTGAGGCCTCATGGTTTCGCCTGTGCAGCATGAGGGGATCGAAAATGGGGCTCGGCAACCCAACTCGGACGTTTCAAGCAGACAAGGTGCATACGGTTGATGATGTAAATCCTGCATTACTCCTAATAAGGAATAGATTATCATCCCCATGGTTTAGGGCCCTGAAGGTAACGCAGGATCTATATCATCAACCAATAGTAGTACAAGGGTGACTAGGCTGACCGTTACAAGCATAATGCAGCTGCTGCTCTTGCTGCTGCTTACGTCGAAGGCAGACGACGAGGCCGACTGCGACCCTAAACCCTAAACCCTACTGAGCACTTCTGCGACTAACCACTGTAAGCCCTGCCCAGGCACAGCAAGGCCGCCACAGGCACGAGTCTGCATGAAGCGGGCCTTGGGAGATCTTCAAACTAACAAGAAAACCCAGCGACCCACATAGACTAGTAGACTACTGTTAGAAAGGGTGTATTTCGAGTTTCATGGAGGGCTAAGTTTAGCAATGGTTTACTTCAGATTACATCGAGACATGGCAAGCATGCTTTCCACTTACGAAATTTCTAAGAGGGAAGTGGCGGACATGAGATGTGAGTTGGCGGCAGCGAAACCAAGAGGTGGAATGGGGCCATCTCTGCGGCTCACCTGGGTGAATAAAACAGAAACCAAATACGTGGTCCCGTCTTTAAATCATGCAATACCATGCATACCGACCACATGACCGACAACAAGAAGCATCAGAACTACATTGCAGTTAAGAAAAGTCTCAATGAAGACTCTAAATAAACAGCAAACTAGAAATGCCCGGCGGCGAGCAACTTTCCTGTACCTACTAATGTAGTCGCATAGTTATAGGTAGCGTAAGACAAACACACCCACAGAGATATGCGCGTGTGTGTGTGTGTGTGTCGTATACATACAGGCAAGACACACAAACACCTATATACATAGTATATATATATGTATGTATGTATGTATGTATGTATGTATGTATGTATGTAGGTATGTATGCATGGATGTATGTATGCATGTATGCATGCATGGATGGATAGATGTATTTTTGGCTCCCACATGGCAACGTCAGCGCGCTGACACCGCATCGCAGGTATCACGTCTGAAACGACCTACCAGAAGTGACAAGCATCAACTTCCAGCTAGGATGAAACCCCAGGCAGGCAGCAAGGGAAGGCGCAGCAGGCTTTACTGCAAGCACAGTTCAAAGGAATAGTCCAAGTCCAAAGTACCGCTACGGCAATCCAGTCACAGCTCGCGAGCCGACTGTGCACACACCAGAGATGGGATAGATGTATGTATGTATGTATGGATGGATGGATGGATGCGTACGCATTCCACATGCACATAGGTGTCTGCAGATGTTCAGAAACACATACACATGTACAAATGCTCGCAATAATCACACGCATACGCACATGCACACACACACACACAGACACACACCCACATCGCCTATGACGGCCAGACCATGGACGGAGCAAGTGTCGCAAGATGGTGCCCTTTTATACCCCAGACGGCGTCGAACTTCAAGCCTAAACCCTGGAAGTCCTGAGTGCAAGTGCCAAGTCGCGTCTGGAAAGTGCAGAGCTCGTGCGTCACGGAAGCGGCTCTGCCCGCACGTCGGCCAGGAAAAACTGGCTGAGTTGAGAGCTTCCCATAGGCCCCATAGTAGTTCCTTTTTGGGATTACCTTATAGGATTCTAAATATGAACCCAAAAAGGAACTACTTTAGGGCCTATGGGTTCAGAAAATGCAGGACCCGTGTCATAAGGACACCTGCTTGGAGGTTCATGGGCAGTTATAAGTAGGGTTAGAAGTAGGGTAACTATAATTATAACCCATATTAGGGGCCTTATAACCCCACTTACTGTATAACTACCCATGAACCTCCAAGTGAAGGAGCTTAAGAATTCCGCAACTGGCATGCAGCGCCTGAAGGCTGCGCTGGTGATGGCGAGGCTGCTGCGATTTACGATGGTCTCGCCGACGGCTTGTTGCACAAAGGCCCAGAGTCCTTTGCAGGTCTGGTTCCTAGGTTCCCCAGTAGCCCCGTACTAATAAGGGTACCCTTTTTCCTACCATTTGGTTTTGATATAAGGGAACCCCAACGAAAAAGGGCAAAAGGGTACTACTGGGGAACCTAGACATTCCCGAAACACAACAGATTGGAAAGCAGGCGCCTCAACCGAGCTGCTACGGCAGAACTGGTTAGCTCTCAATGCTACCTTCCCCGACAGTGTGAAATCGACACTTTGCAGATGCAATGTTGCCTGAAAAGGCCTCTCCGTAAGACCGCCGCTTCTTGCTGCATCGGTGTCAGCAAACACCCGGGCCCCTCCAATACTTCACTGTTGTAGTCTCCAGAGCGGCATCTCCTAAACCTCCGAATCCAAATTCGGCCCAGGCAGCGCAGATTTGGCTTAAGCAGATCTGAGCACGTCTGCGCAAAGCTTCTGACACCCTGTCACTGACTCGCTAGGGCGATCGCTAGATTCTAGTATTGCCTCCACGTTCAACCTTGCTATCCAAGTTGGACGGCCATGTTGCTGTCACTGGCCAAGCGAACCAGGAACACAAATCCGGTGCCACCGTGGTGCGTGGCCTTCCGCGACCATCCACACAAACATCACAACTAGCATACCAAGCACTCCAAATTGCACCCCGCCACACTAGACACATGCACATGCCCTCAAAAGACAAGGCAGGCTTCTTGATAGTTTGGCTGCGGAGATGATGGAACTGTTGCGGAGCTGCGTGCTTAAACCTCAGAACGGTGCACCTCGTATTCTTGGACAGACTCCGGGGGGGCGGCAATCGACTCGAAGATGTTGTTCCTTACATGGATACACAGCCCGAGAAGTGCACCACTCCCCGCAAATCCATGGCGAGAGTCAGTGCAGGGACGCCGTCCGGCTTGCTGTCCTCGTCCTCCACGGCCTGCGTGTCAGTAGACCCGTTCAATGCCTTAATCAAAATGGACCAACATGACTGGGTCTTGCGCGCAGCCTCTGGGACTCTCAACATTGCAATGAAACCACTGGGCCGTGATCGATAACAGCCTGACAATAGCACTAAGAACTAGGGTTCATGATATAAACCCTGCATTACCCAAAATTACCCATAATAAGGAATATACCATAATTTCCCATAGTTTAGGGTGGCCTCTGCTGTCTGGCACAGCAGAGACAAGCTGCTTTCTGTTAACAGTTGTTCTATAAACACAAATGTTCGTCATCAGTCAGGAGCAGAATTTGGGGATAGAAAGAAGCAAGTCCGACGCGGCATTCAGCCTGGCCCGTTCCGTGAACACAACTAGATTAACGAGTCGAGCCACCTTTCCATCAACATTCTCGCAATGGAATGACGGAATGAAGGCATGCCCACAGCGTGAAACCATGAAAGCACACGGTGACCGAAACCCCAAAACGAGACACAACAACAGCCACAACAGAAGCCTGAATCATTACTTGCGAATGTTGTATGTTACGGCTCCCTCTTGTATTTGTACGTTAATAGAACCCCAAGAACCTGTTCGATTATTCAGGCCCCTACAGTATTCGACGAAGCTTTGCTCCCAGTCATAACACAGGGGCCATGAACATTAAAACTTGTCTAGAGTTTGGGGACTATAATACTATATAACTATTTCAAGGAACGCATAAATAGTATTACGAATTGTTTAGACCCCTATAGCTAGGTTCCCCAGTAGCCCCGTAATAATAAGGGTACCCTTTTTCCTACCATTTGGTTTTAATAAGGGAACCCCAAAAGAAAAAGGGCAAAAGGGTACTACTGGGGAACCTAGATAGCACCAGTTTGGGGACCATGATACCATATAACTATTTCAAGGAACGCAAAAATAGTATTCTCTAAACCCTAAACCGTTTAGACCCCTGTAGCACTCTCCAGGCCGTCCTTCCGATGCCGGGCGATGGCATCAGCAACGGAAGCCATCGGATCTCGGTCCTCGGGAGCCTGCGACGTCTCCAGATTTAGGGACCTTAGGGTTTAGGGTTTAGGGACCTGATGGTTTAGGGTTTAGGGACCTTAGGGTTTAGGGTTTAGGGACCTTAGGGTTTAGGGTTTAGGGACCTGAAGGTTTAGGGCTTAGGGACCTTAGGGTGTTGTTGCCTCCTACTTAGCAAGGACGAGCCCGACCTGAGGGTGTAGGGTTTAGGGTTTAGGATGTAGGGACATCTTTCAATATGTCAAAACTGAAAGGGAACGGGGCTTTGTTCCGAATCCTCCAGGTCGAAAATACCTCGAGTCTTCGAGTTCGACGACATACTTGCTCGACCTCATAAACCGGAACCGGAACCTCATCTCAGGCTCATCATGAGACTGAAAGTCTAAGACGCCGCCTAGCCACATGGAAAGCTTTATACTTTATACAGCTTGAGCAGCATAAGTCGTGGCCTCGGCTGCCTTTGCCACGTGACCGATGAGCGGTTTCAGAACAAGCTGGGTTAAGGACGAACGGAGCCCATAACACTCCCATATTGCAATGCACTGGCTTGCAGATTTCAGTTTCCGAGAGACGCGTGTCTCTTCTCTCTCGCTCTTCTTGTGTCCCTATCTCAGGCTCCAGTTCACCCCGTGATGCACAAATGCTCAGCAGATATCGCTTCAAACCTGAACGATCCAGAACCGATATGCCCCCAACTGCTCTTCAACTTCGCAGTTTGCCTTCTGCGTGGAGTTCAGGACGGCTGCTGCAGCGGCCATCTGCTCTTCGGGGGTCATGTTCTGAGCCAGCGCGTTTACCTCCAGGTGGGTGGTTGTCAAAATTATGGTCCCTTTTGGGGTCCTTATTATAATACGGCATCTA